GAAGACACAGACATAAATCCACATATTCACCTAATTTTAGACAAAGAAGCCAAAATTATATAATGGAAAAAATTCATCTTCAACAAATGGTGCTGGTATCGTCAACATGTAGAAGAATGCAAATAGATACATATCTATCACACTGAAAAAAAAAAAAACTCAAGTCCAAGTGGATCAAAGACCTCAACATACATCCTTGAACACATTGGACAGGAGATAACTCTTGAGCAGAACACCAGTAGCACAGATGCTAAGATCAACAATTAATAAATGGGACCTCCTGAAACTGAAAAGCTTCTGTAAGGCAAAGAACAAGGTCAATAAGACAAAATGGTAGGCTACTGAAAAGGAAAATATCTTCACCATTCCCGTATGTGACAGAGGGCTGAGTTCCAAAATATATAAAGAACTCAAGAAACTACCCATCAAACACCCAAATTATCTAATTCAAAAGCGGAGTATAGGTCTAAACAGACTTCTCAACCCAAATATCTCAAATTGCAGAGAAACCATTAACAAAATGTTAAGTATCCTTAGCTATCAGGGAAACACAAATCAAAACAACTCTGAGATTATAGCTTACACCTGTTAGAATGGCTAAGATCAGAAATACAAGTGCCAAATCATGCTGAAAATGGTGTGGACTAAAGGGAACACTCTTGCGTTGCTGACTGGACTGCAAACTTGTACAGGCAGTTTGGAAAAGAATATGGCAGTTTCAAAGAAAAGTGAGAATCACTACCTCAAGATCCAGCTATATCATATTTGGACACATACCTAAAGGATGTTCTATCATACCACAAGAAATTTACTCAACTATCTTTATTCATAATAGTCAGAATTTGGAAACAACATAGATGACCCTAAACTTAAAAATTGATAAAAAAAAATGCTACTTTTATGCAATCCAGTATTACCCTGCTGTTTAAAACAATGGCATCATGAAAACTGAAGGCACATAAATGAAAACAGAAAAAAATTCCAAATATCCTGAGTGAGGTAAAGTAGGCCTAGAAAGACACACATGGTATGTACTCACACATTAGTGGATAGTGGCTGTAAAGTGAAAGATAACCATGCCACAAACCATAGGCCCAGAGAGATTAGGTAACAAGGAAGGCCCAAGGGGAAGACTCACATCTCCTTGAGTAGGTGAAATTGAAGAGATTTTCTGGGTAGACTGGGATGGATGGAAATAAGAACATGACTAATCAGGTGAGGGTGGAATAGGAAGGAGATAACTAAAACAGCATACTGAAAAAGGGGACATTTGTGGGTCAAATAGAAACCTAGTGAGAGGGAAATGCCCAGGGATCTACAAGGTTGACCCCAGATAAGATTTCTAGCAATAGTGGCTATATAGCCTTAACTGGTCATCTCTTGTGGCCAGTCAAAACTTACAGTGGAGTGATTGCGACGCCAACCCAGCCATATAACCTGCTACCTACAGTCTGTCCTGCCTGTAGGATATGCGGGGATAAGGATGGCACATAGATTGTAGGGGTGGCCAACCACAAGAGTGACACTGCCTGGAGCACCAGAACATAGAGACTCAATGGCCCAGGGACCTAGGATAGAACCAAACACAACTGGAGGGAAAATGTCAATGTAATGATTCCTAACAATATTCTGCTATATTCATAGATCGGTGCCTAGCACAATTCTCACCAGAGAAACTCCACCCAGCAAATCATGGAAACAGATTCAGAGACCCACATTCTAACATTAGCCCAACCATATTAAGGAAATCCTGCTGAAGAGGTGGAGAAAGGATGACAGGAGCCAGAGGGGACAAAGATAGCACAAGAAAACCATTAGAATCAACTAACCTAGGCTCACAGGGACTCACAGATACTGAATGGCCAACCAGGGAGGTTGCATAGGCCTGAACTAGGCCCTCTGATTATGTTACAGTTGTATCACTTGATCCTATTATGGCACTCCTAACAGTGGGAACAGGGGCTGTCTTTGACTCTTACTGGCTTTTGTGAACTTATTTCTCATACTGGGGGGTCTTGCCTAGTCTTAATACAAGGCAAGGTGCTTAGTTTTGTCAACATCCATGGAAGGCCTGCCCTTTTCTGACCAGAAAAGGAGAAAAATGAATGCGATGGAAGACAGAGAGGATGTAGGGAGGGTGGACTGGGAGGAGAAGAGGGAGGGAAAGAGTTGTGGGGAATGTGAAGTAAATACATTATTCAATTAATTCAAAAAATGTGATGAAGAGTCACCACCTTCATATATCACTGTGTGCTAATTTACACAAGACAGTATGGCACAGCCAATACCAATCATGAGCATAATCTTTGAAAGAACTAATGGATTGTAGGTGACATTCTTTAGTTAGCCCTTGTACATGTTCCTACATATTAAAATATTTGAGATTTCCCAACCAGCTCAAAAATGTTGGCAGACAGCACTAGAGCAAAAGAAGGAAGGCATCATAGTAGGTGTACCAGTGACGCAGATGTGGTTACTGGAGCTTTGCCATGGTGGTAAATGCAGACTTTCCGCATTCACACACAGACTGTCCTAAGAAGGAAAGCATGGGCTCAGAACTACAGTTACCACTGTAGGATGCTCATGGAGATGTGTAAATGATCCATGTTACTGTGAACAAAGTCAAATCTGGAACATGGTGACTGACAATTTTGATAAGGAAAAGCATGGTGTCAGATAACACTGGGAAAGTTAGAGGTCTACATTATTCTCTTTAGACCAATGACAGTGTCCCTTGAAGGAGCAGTTCCAGAAGGATAGGTTGTTTGTGAAGTTTGGACTTTGTTCCAGTGATTCTCTGCTGGGAATGTTGTCTGAGAAAACCACAAGGGCCTTGAAGCAACATTTACTGACATCCTCACAATGTGCACGCCCTGATACTGCTTCTACTGCTTCTACTTCTGGCTATTGTTCCAGACACACAATCAATATGGCTACAATATTTAACCACAAAGACGGTCATCAAAGCATCATTTGTCATATGAAAAAAATGGCAAACTACTTCATGTATGGCAATTGGATAAGTAATTTATGATAATTTTATTCCAGGGAATTATATGCCAACAATTATACACATGGGTCATATGTACAATGGAAGATATTCTGGGCTCACTACTTGATACTTATCTTGATCTTTTGTTGTTGTCTCTTGAACTAACTTCTTATTACTGGCCTTTAACTTCAAATAATCCTCATGAGTCTCCCAGAAAAGTGTCAGGGTTAAAGTCTTGATCAGCTACATCCTATTCCTAAAATAATGTTGTCAAGGTCCATCCATACTGTAGCATGTGTGAGAAGTTTTTCCTCTTTCATGCTACCTAGTGTTCTAGAAATTGACCACTACAATTTGTCTGCCAACTTCTCAGTTTTGATATCTGTACTATCTCCAAGCTTTACTTAAGATGAGAAATGTTTCATGAGTGAAAAAGCTTACATTAAAGTTGTTGATTTATAGTCACTTTTCTCTTGGGTAAATGCAAACTAGTTGAATTGGGCTACAAATTGCTTTCAAAATTTATACTGTGAGCCATAAGATATGATGGTGGGAACTTCTTTATGAGTTCTCTTGCCTTCTTAACATTTTCAGAGACAGAGTCTCATCAGTTTGTCCAGGAAGGTCTCAAATCACTGTGGCACTCAGACTGGCCTCATATTTGCAGTCTTCCTTATTTGGCTTTCTGAGTAGTTAGTTATATAATGTTCTACTGTGTCAGGTTATTTTTAAAATACTAAACTTACTAAGTTGTCCTCCTAGACTATCATGTGTTCCAGCATGTCCTAGTATTCAAAATCCTCCTGACTTAGTATCCTATGAGTTACAATCCCAGGCATTAGGGACTGTGCCCACTGTTAGTCTTTTCAATATATATCATTTACAATAATTACAATATCGGCAGTCATTGTCATCATTATGATATATAACCCGATGAAAGACACATAAAATTTATTGAATATAAACCGAATAAGGCAAAATATCTTATATAACACAATCATGGTTGTGAACTAAATTGCTAAGCTATAGTTTTAACAGGGATGGAGAAATTTGAATTTCTTCGTTTAAATTTATAATATTATAACATCCCATACAAAGGAATAACATGAAATACAAGAATAGAGCTATCATTCAACAAGGATTCATGCTGCTGACACTCTTAAAAATATACATCAGAAGCTGATTGGCTTGCTTGGTGTTTAAAAAGGCTACTGTTATTCCAAAGAATCTGAGTCCAGATCCCAAGATCCATGTTAGGCACTTCACAACTGCCTGAAACTGAAATTCCAAGCAAATCTGGCCTCCACAGGTGACTGTACACATGTTGTACTTATATGCATACTCATAAACACACAGGCAAAGGCATATTATATAATTGAAAATAGTAGTACATCCTAAAATATATGCTATACTTTGTCAGTTTATTTCCTGACTTATAGTTGACTCACCTGAGTATTATCAAATATGTTAATGTAATTTTTGCTGTTTTGAAAAATGAGAACAGTGCAGGAGGCAGTCCTATGGGGGTAGCTTCTGTCAATATGTATTATATGCGAAACTTGGATTATGAGTTTTTAATTTTGTGTTGTAAGGCTTCATTTTTGTTGTTATGCTTATGGAATTCAGGTCTTTGAGCATATTAGTTGAAAGATTTACTCCAGACCTACATAACAACTACAGCTTATGGTCTTTAAATACTACCTACATTTTTACATTTTAGGTATTTCTGTCCAAGCATTATTTTTACAATAAGAAAATAATAAAAAGACTTCATAAGCATGTTGTCAAACTATGGTGTGTTTGCTTATATTTATAATTATAATGGCCAGGAGGCAGAGGTAGGACGGAAACATTCAAAGGCAGCATAATTCTATGTAGCAAGTTCCAGTTTAAATAAAACTGTCTTAGAAAAAGAATATATCTGCATCAATAAAATAAACAGTTTCAAATAATTAAGGAGTACCTGTTTCTGGTCCACACATGAATTCTACACTTAGAATACACTAACCTGAAGGAGATCCTTTTACTGAAATACTTGGCACCTGTCAAAACAGATGATTGGAGAACCTGGAAAAACACCCAACAGAAGGTTAGCTAAATAGTGAGCCAAGAGTAAGTAGATACCCCATCCTGAAACAATTGAAGAATACAAAGCAAGATACAACTGAATATTAGCAAGAATAGTGACATTTTCCCTTACTTTTTTTACTTTAGGGTGAAAGTCCACCAATATTTTTGGTGTTAATTTTTTTTCAGTGGTGGAAAGGGATTATGTTCTTACTATTTATGTGAGGATTCCCCTGTAATCACCATATAGCTTCTGCTGAAATCTCCATTGAGTCAATTCACCACTTTCTGTCCTCCAAGTGCTGGGATTATGGGCATGACACACCATGCATAACATGTGTGAGGATTTTTGTAATTGTTTAGAGTGCTCTGGATGGAACTCAGCCATAGGTGCATGCAAAGAAAATGGTCTACTAGTGGAGTAAACACCTACTCCCAGAAGTGGGTTCATGGGCTTTATTGTCAGATACCCTTCATGCATGTGTCCTTCTTGGAGTCCTAGAAAGAAATATTATGATATGGATGGTAAGAAGAGACCCAAGGGTATTAATTTCCTTGAAGCAAAGTCATCTAAAAAATTAGTAATTTGTATTTCCTAAAAGAAAATCTGAAAGCATCTCCACGTAAATTTTTCAAAGAAAAAAAACAGTTTAAATTTAGAGTGGTCTTAACATTTAATAACCTTTTTTTAACCCCATAGTTTCCCCTTATTGATGACTCTTAAGTGTCAGTTACTAAAGATAGAAGGCAGTCCCCTGGGAGCTAATATAAGAAACTGTGCTGTGTTGACACTACTGAAAGGTGGCAGCAGATGAATAGATGAAGTTACATGAAAGGAGGAGGAGAAACATATATTAAGGATATTTCCCCCCTAACTCAACCAAAGAGGTGTCTGATGTGTTGAAGAGATGCTACTGTGAACCTGAGAGAGACCTGCACTGAACAGTATGGTGAAAATAGTCTATTCTTGGAGACTGGTGAATGGCAGTTGTGGGATCAGATGAATGAAGAGTGAAGCAGGAGAGGATGCCAAATTCAGTCAGTAGAAAATATTGAGGGGTTCAGAGTTTCCAGGAGGAGTACCATTG